GCTGCCTGGGCTGCCCTCCCCGCCCGCCCAGAACCTCGGGAACCCGGGAACGAGAGGGCGGCGTGGGGGTGGGGTCTCTTCCCAGGACGGGGTCCCCGCAGCCACCCCCTCAGCCTCAGGTCAAGACTGATAGCCGCTGCGTATGCACGGAGCAGCTCCCTCCGCCATTCCACGTCCTAGGCGGGGAGGTTCCGCGCTGGAATTTGAGGAGGGGGCTCGGAGGTCGCCTTCTCTCCCCACTTCGGGTCTGCGGCTGGGTTCTGGGGGTCTGGAGGTCTGGGTTGCGATCCCAGAGCAGGCAGGCAGGCAGGAATTTGCCTGTGCCCAGTCTGAAGGTTTCTGAGTAAACATGGGAGCAGGCTGGGGTGGCCCGCGGGTTCCGGTTTCGTGGGGCAGCCGACAACCCTGGTGCTGGAAGGAGGGAGTCGTGGATCCCTCCCCCAGCCCCGCTTGGCCAGATAGGCCTAAGCGCCAGGCCTGGCATGGCCAGGACCCTCTGGGGATTTGGGCAGCACCAACCTGGTCAGATGTGTCTCTCAGGACAAGCGCAGAAGGCTCAGCCCCAAACTAGGGATCCTAGGCCGGGCTGTGGGAGGAGTCTGCCCAGGAGTAGCCAGGCACATTGCGGGGAGGGAAGGGTCCCTGCTCGGGTAAGTACCCAGAACCCTGACCTGAGCTCCCCTTCCACCCCCCATCCCCCCACCCCCACCCATCTGGTGTTAGGCCAGGTGGATTTCAGAGAAGTGAAGAGTGGGTGTTGTGGGGGGAGGGGAGGGATAGTCCTCCCCCTTAATTCTGGCCCCCACTTGGAAGTGGAGGATGTGACATAACCAGAGCCAAGAAGGAGGCTCAGACATACCCTATTGTTTCCCCATCTCACGAGTTGGCGCCTTTCCCTCTCTTGGGGCTCCCATCCCAGCCAGGCCTCAGCTGAGCTCTGGTGCTAGCCCCTCCTCTGACCAAGGGCCGCCGGCTCACAGGCCTGCAGGTGGGCAGGGACCCCTGGGGATGTCTAATGGCATCATCAGGCCCAGAAACTTCCCCTGAGGCCCTGAG